CAACGGTTTGACGGATTGAGGGCGGGTGGTTTTCAAAATGTGGTTCTCGCCTTGGCGCCGCGCGCATTCGTTTTCAACATGTGCAGGAGATTCGCGGATTGAGGGCGGGTGGTTTTCAAAATATGGCTCTCGCTTTAGCGCCGCGCATATTCGTTTTCAAGATCTGGAAGAGATTCGCGGATTGAGGGCGGGTGTTTTTCAACATGTTGTTCTCGCTTTAGCGCCGCGCACATTCGTTTTCCACATTTGCAGGCAATTCGCGGATTGAGGGCGGGTCGTTTTCAACATGTGGCTCTCGCCTTCGTGCCGCGCACATTCGTTTTGTAGCTTTGCAAGGGCTTCACGGATTGAGAGCGGTTCCTTTTTTAAATGTGGTTCTCGTCTTAGCGCCGAGCACATTCGTTGTCAAGCTTTGCAGGAGGTTTCACCGATGCCCATCAGCGTACCTGAAACTGTGTTTTGGAAGGGTTCAGGAATATGCGGGTGCAACAATTGTGCTGATTTGCGGTGCTGAAATCCCGACAATGGCGTTCTGGCACGATTCTGGACCGTCAAGACGCAGCAGTCAGGTTGATTCGTGGCGTTGAAATCCCGAGCGCGATGTTTTGGCATGTTTCAGGGTCTTCAAACGGTCGTCTCCCAACGATGCAGCTCCCTCAATGGACATAAACCGTTGTAGTGGCCTGTAGAGAGGGAGCTTGGAGGGAGGGTTAATTCCAACATCGTTGATGACTCTTGGGTTTACGCTGGTCCTCTTCCTCCTCCTCCTCCTCCTCCTCCTCCTTCTCCTTCTCCTCCTCCTCCTCCTCCTCCTCCTCCTCCTCCTCCTCCCCCCTCCTTGTCGTCGTCGTCGTCCTCCTCCTCCTCTTCCTCCTCTTCCCTCTCATGCCCCGCTTTCTCCTCTCGCTCTCTCTCCTCCTCCTCCTTCTCCTCCTCCTCCTCCTCCTCCTTCTCCCTCTGTCTTCCTCATCCCTCTCATCCTTCTTCTCCTCCTTGTCCTGCACCTCTATGTCTTCATGCTGTTTTTCCTTCTTACATCTCCTCTTCTTTCTCATCTTGCTCCTCTTGTCGTTGTCTTCCTCCGCGTCTGCCTCCTCCCCCTCCTTCGCCTCGCTCCTCCGAGGGCACCTCGTCGCATGGAGTTCCCCGCCCCCGTGTTCCTCCTCCTTTTTTTCTGACCTGGACCTCCCTCAGCGGGCAGCGCACTTCCCCAGTACAGCGCAATCCTCCCTCGCCTCCTCCTTCAGTGCAGCGCACTCCGCCTCCTCCCCCTCCTCCTCCTCCTCCTCCCTCAGTGGGCAGCGCGCTCCTCCTCTTTGTCATGCCCTTCTTTGTCCTCTCGCTCGCCCTCCTCTTGCTCGTCCCACCGCCGCTGCCCCTGCCTGGGCGGCCACCGCCAGGAAGCGGCAGGCTGTCCTCGAGAAGGCCGAGTCAGACAGGCGGGCGAAGCGGCAGAAGCAGGCGGGGGCCGCCCGCGTTCTTGCACTTGCTGGCCTTGGGGGGGGAAGAAGAAATGTGGATAGGAGATCAGTGTCAATACCAAGACTCACCAACGACAATGGAGTACACCCTCCCTCCAAGCGCCCCCTTCAGTGTCCCATTTGGGGGCACTCGTTTGAAGATCCTGCAGCGTGCCAAAACGCCATTCCCGGAACTTCAAAGCCACGTCTCAACCTGATTGTAGACACCATTCCTCGGACTTCAGCACCGCGAATCAAGATTACTGTCGGGCTCTGGCGTTTCTGAATCGCCCCGACGTTAACCATGTGAACCCGTGAACTTCGTTGTAGTTGTTTACACACAGATGTGCGCGACGAAAAAGCGAGAGCCACATTTTGAAACGGAACCGCCCTCAATCCGTGAAACCCTTGTAGGTGTACAAGGCAAATGTGCGCGGCGCTATGGTGAGAGCCACAGTTTGAACACCGCCCGCCCCCCAATGCGCGAAACTATTGCTGCCTTTCTTCCAGCCTCGGATCATACAGTGGACGGCAGTCTCAGACGAAACGCCCAGTCCGCCCTTTCGACCAGCCTCGGGGTAAAACATGGAGTGATACGCACACGGAACTGATGATGATGTTCATGATGATGTTGTTGCTGATGATGAGAGTGATGGTGGTTGTGATCGCGAAGACGGTGATGATATTGATGATGAGGAGGATCGTGACGAAGATTTTGAGCATGATGACGATGATGTTTTTGCTCATGTTGCTGATGTTGCTGTTGCTGATGATGGCGATGATGATGATGCTGACACCGATGGTGATGCTGCTACTGGTTATCATGATAAGATGACGATGGTGCTGCTGATGCTACTGATGATGCTGCTGGTGACGACGACGATAGCGACGATGGTGATGCCGATGGTAATATTGATGGTAATGACGATGATGATGATGATGCTACTGCTGCTGCTGCTGGTGATGGTGCTGAAGCTGCTGTTGCTGCTGCTGGTGATGATGACGATGCTGATGACTATGATGATGACGATGATGATGACGGTGATGATGATGAGTATGTTCATGATGATGAGGATGATGATGATGATGATGATGATGATGATGCCGATGATGAGGCTGGCGATTATGTTTGGGAAGAGGATGGGGATGCGGATGCTGCTGCCGACGCTGCTGATGCTGATGATGCTGATGCTGACGATGCAGATCATGATGATGTTGCTGATGACGACGATGACGATGCTGATGCCGAAGATGATGACACTGCTGATGATGGCGATGATGTTGATGATGATGACGATGATGCTGCTGCTGATGATGCTGCTGATGATGATGGTGTTGATGATGCTGCTGATGACGATGATGCGATGCTGATGATGATGCACGTGGAAATGATGCTGATTATGATGCTGACGATTCTGCTAACGATGATGCTTATGCTGATGCTGATGATGATGCTGTTGATGAAGATACTGAATTTGATGATGATGGTGATGCTGATGCTGATGCTGCAACTGATGATGATGATGATGATGATGCTGATGCTGGCCATGATGATGCTGCGGATGTGGATGATGAGGCTGATGATGATGCTGACGATGCTGCTGACGATGAAGATGATGCTGATGATGATGATGATGATAATGATGATGATGATGATGATGATGTCGAAGTTGCTGATGATGATACTGATCATGCTTCTGATGATGATGCTGATGCTGATGATGATGCTGGTGATGCTAATGGTGTTGCTGCTGCTGATGATAATGCTGATGCTTATGATGATGCTGATGCTGATGATGATGATTATGATGATGATGCTGATGATGATGATGATGGCGATGCTGATTATGATGATGATGCTAATTTTGCTGATTGTGCTGCTGATGATGATGTGCTGATGATGATACTCATGAAGCTGCTCATGATGCTGCGAATGATAATGCTGCTGACGATGATGCAGATTATGATGATGATGTCGATGATGCTGATGATGCTGCTGATGATGATGAGGAGGATGCTGACGATGATTATGATGATTATGATGATGGTGGTGATGATGCTGACGATGACGATGATGCTGATGCTGATGCTGATGGTGCTGCTGATGATGATGATGATGAGGATGAGGATGAGGATGAGGATGAGGATGATGATGATTCTGCTGCTGCTGCGGCTGATGATGATGATTCCGATGATGATTCTGATGATGATTCTGATGATGATGATGATGATGATGATGATGATGATGATGATGATGATGATGCTGATGCTGATGCTGATGCTGATGCTGATGATGATGCTGATGCTGATGCTGATGCTGATGCTGATGATGATGATGATGCTGCTGCTGCAGCTGCTGCTGCAGCTGCTGCAGCTGCTGCAGCTGCTGCTGCTGCTGATGATGATGATGAGGAGGAGGAGGAGGAGGAGAAGGAGGAGGATGACGTGGGGTACCTTGCTGGGTCTTACTTAATTCGCATGCACGGGCCCCAGGGCAGGGCGATGAGGGAAGGGCCCCTGGGCGTCCAAGACGCTGGTGGCCGCCGCAGGGCCGCCAGCCAGACGGGCAGCCTTCCCGCTGCGGCCCTTGCTGCCCGAGGCCTGCACTGGGGGCATGGCGGGCAGATCGCCACCACCGCGCTGGCCCACGGGTCAGGCACGGGTCAGGCGGCGCACGAGCCGCAGACCCCGGAGGCGGCTCGACGCCGCGAACGGGTCAGGCGGCGCCCGCCGGCCCCGCGGGCCGTCTGCCGCGTTCATCGAGCCGAGCCCAGCGGCCCCCCACAGCCAAGACGCTGAAATGAGGACCGCTTTGGGTTCGGAAGGGGCTCGGGGATTTGGGTCGCTTCGTAGATTTAGGTCGCGGGATTTGCTTGTGGCCCAGGCCCACCGTGGCCCGAAAAGCCCCTTTCTTCCTTCTTTGGCGTTCCTTCTGATAGTACCTCGACTGTGCTGCTGCGTGCAGCCCTCCTCCTGCCCCACGTGAGGTTTCGCAGCGCTCGGGCGCCGGCGCCCCGCCGACGGCGGCCTGCTGCGGGCGCACGGCCCTCGGCGCCGCGCCCTCCAGCCGCTTCGCCGCGCGGCCTGGCCGCGTCCGCGGCGGCCGCGGCGCTGCGGGGCTGCCGGCCCGGCGCTTGCGCGGGCGCCTTCGGAGCTCGGCGCAGCGCCTGCCGAGCCGCTCCGCCGTCGTCGTCAGCAGCGCGTGCAGGGCTGCCGCCGTCGCGGCAGCGCGCACCGCGCCAGCGGCACTATACGCCGCGATCTTGATCGCGCCGGCGAGCACTGTGCTGAAGCAGAACGCCATGGAGGCGTTCGGGAGGCGGTACGGCCACCACGATGTCAAAGCGGTGATCGCGGCGTGGTCCCACGCCAGGATGCTCCCGCTTGGGCGGTCACCGCCTCCCGGTGGATCTGCATGCACGCGCGTTGTCGACACTTTGCCGCCTTACGCCCCACGCTGGATGAGTGAAGTGCCACGACGTCCGAGCCCTTTCCATTCGTCTTCTCCTCGCTCTCCTCGGTGCCGCTGCCCTCGAAGATCACCTCGGCGAACGGCTCCACGCCCACATCCTCTTGCTCGATGCCCTCGTTTGGCTCGGCCGGCCACTACGATGTGCTTTTCGAGATCACCGACGTTGTCGGACTCCTCCGCGGCCTCCTGAGAGGTGCCCGTCTCTGCGCTTGGTCCCAGCGGCTGCTCGACGGCTTAATCCACGGCCTTCTGCTCGGTGGGCTCCTCGACCTTCTTCTCCACTCCGCAGCCTTCTGCTCAGACATGGGGTCCTGAGGGATGGGGTCCTCCTAAGGACGAGGTGCCCCAATCAACGTAACTGCCCCTCGGATCCCTCCCTGTCCTTAGGACCCCATCGCTCGGGACCCCATCCTCGAACCATCGAGAACCGCGCCTCTCGCACGGCCGCCTGGAGCGGCGCCCCGGACGCCCAGCGGGCCTGTAGCCTCCCTGCGTTCATGGCGCCTCCGCACGTCGGAGCTGGCGCCAGGGTCTCGCCCAGCAGCGGCTCCGAGGCGGGAATTTTGACATGGCCACCGCCTGGAGGATCAAGTTTCGTGGACCTCGCAGGCGGTGGATACGGATATGGATATGGATATGGATATGGATATGCATATATATATATATATATATATGTATATTCTCATACGCACCTCTCCGAGGGAGTAGAGCTCAGAGGCGATTAATGCGCACGTCGTTCGCGATTTTTCTGGCCGTTTCGCTCGGGACATCCTCGAAATTCTGAAAATCGGTGGCACCCCTCACGCAGATCGTGACGTCAGGGTCCAAAAACACATGGGAATTTCAACAGTTTAACATAACACCTTCAAAAACACACGGTAATTTCAATAAGTTTGACCCCGATTCTCAGAGAATGGCGGTTTCGCCTGAGACATCCTCCCAAAATCGAGCCCCAGACCCCTCCTCGGAGCCTCCTGGGGGCCTCCTGGAACCTCCTGGGGCCTCCTGGGGCTTTCTGGACCTTCTGGTACCCCAGACCCCGCCTCGGAGCCTCCTGGAGTTCTCCTGGGCCTGCTGAGGCCGCCTGGGGCCTCCTGGGGCCTCCTGGGGCTTCAGAACTACATGCACACACAGAGACACAAATCACGCCCAACACATCACACGCTAGACAAACATAACATACACACACAACACCGACAACACACAAAAAGCACGCACCACACAAAGCACACATCACACACACACAACACTCACAATCCTGGGGCCTCCTGGAGCCTCTTCTGGTATCCAAGTCGGGCCTCCTGAGGCTTCCTGGGGGGCCCTGGTACACACATCGCAAGGTGTGGCAACCCCACTTGCGCTCGAGTGCGACTTCGCTGTTGCATGTCACTCCTGCTTCAAACGCCCCTTCAGCTTGTTGTATGAGCCTGGGCACACACGTGCCACTTGTATATATTCGGGCCCCCGGGGGCCAACATATATCCATATCCACCGCCCGCCGGGGCACCAGGACGTCGTTTCCCAGGCGG